TGGGAAACATGAATTTTGTTTTCGCTGTGTATTTAAAACCCAGTAATTTTAAAAGTTACTCCAAAATTCGCTTGAGGATGAAATGGAACTAATGTCTTTAATTTAATCACGAAATTAAATTCGGGGCTTTTAGCTTCCATTTTTGAAACATGGTTAGAACTGTGTAGCGAAAAAAACCATATTTTAAATCAATTAATTTTATATATATATATATATATATATATATATATATATATATATATATATATATATATATATATTCACCAGATCAGGCCAAGAAAAACTGCTGTATCTTTGGATTTTATCAAGGATCTCTAGGATCATATGTGACAACGGTATATGGACAAATAATAGACGTATAGATATGCAAGATAGATTCAGAAGAAGAAAGTTGTCTAGAACAACACAGTAACCCCGTTTCTTAGCAGCTTAACTAGCAATGGATTCAATACAGCCTTTTTAATTCAAAGCCGTTATCCCCAGAAGGCGCAACGAATGACTCTCCTAGTGCTGATGGAAGGCAAAATGGGGTCTCACAGATGATTACTAGGGAGCAGTTGAGTTTTGAAAGCGTTAAAATTAACAAGGTAACTTTTGCCTCGATTAACATCAGACTGAAGGTTGTTTTTGACAACAGCCGTCAATTTACCTTATCGAACTTCCTATCAAGAATAAATTTACCTTATTGACTTCCTATCAAGAATAAATGGTTGTGTCATCGACGTTGATACCAAGTTGAGAGCTGACGCCATCGGGAAGGTCGTTAATGAAAGTTAAAAACAAAATTGGAACAAGAATAGAGCCCTGGTGTACACCTGCATTAGTATCTGATCTGAATTCAGATGTAAAAATAATTGATAATTAGGAGGTAGACATACACTTAATTCCCGAATAGAGCCAGTACATGCTGGCCGTGTTCGTAGTTGGTGATGTTAAAATTTCATATATATGTATTTTTGTTTTTTTCTATATATAAATTTTGTCAGTATATATATATATATATATAAGTATATATATACACATATATATATTTATGTATATATATATATACATATATATATGTATATATATATATATATATATATATATATACATATATATATATATATGTATATATATATATATATATATATATATATATATATATATATATATATATATATATATATATATATATATATATATATGTATGTATATATATATATATATATATACATATATATATGTGTATCTCTCTCTATATATATATATATATATATATATATATATATATATATGGGGATTGTATAATTGATAAAAAACTTTTTAAAAAGCACAAAATAAGATAAAAGAAATACAAAGCAAAAAAAGAAAAATCTCCCAGGATGTTCCCTGAAAGGAAGAACAAATGGCGCATGCGCGGGAAAAATGGGGCTTCCTGGCACCAAAGACAATACAAGAAGAATCGCCTCTTTTTCCCTCCTGAACTTTAAATGGGTAAACACATGTCTTTAATTCAATTTAATTCAAATAATTATATTGCAGTTTTCGGTTCTTGTCTTGAAACATGGGAACTCTTATGTAGCGTGTTGGAATCATATTTTTAAATAAATAATTATATTTATGCTCTACTTTTGTATCGAGCATTTTTTTTTTTTTTAAATAATAACAAAAATACTAAAGAACTTTGGATTATTTACCTAACCAGTTTTTTCCTATTTTCTATATATTTTCACACATATATATATATATATATGTGGGGGGGTGTATGTGTGTGTAATTCGAAGTAAGATATGATGCAGTTGTTTACTAACTAATATCGTTTGGCCAATTTGGCTCATCAGACAGTAAGCGTTTAGAAACAATTTTGCCATTTAAAGAAATCCTCATACCCTTGGGAAAGGTATGAATCCTCTTCTCTCTCCAGCTATGGGTAAATAGCAGGACAGATCGGGTTCTATAGCCTTGGATGGCAATTAGTCTACGAGTAGGACAACTCTGAATTCAAAACCTGCGGGCGGCTGTTTTGGGACCTTGTGGCACGTAGTGCACCAGGTCTCTGTAATCGGCCCTTCAAAAAGTGTGGATGGTTCTGCACGAAACCTTCGCCACCATAATTAAATCATGTGCTGGTGTCTGAGCTGTCATGTGCAGGAACTGATCTGCTTGACTCTCATATGTCGAATTCGATGAGAGAGTCGAATATATATATATATATATATATATATATATATATATATATATATGTATGTATGTATGTATGTATGTATGTATTATTTAAAAATATTTTGCATTGCGACACGGAAATTTATGTTTGGGGAATTACGCGTCGTTAGTCAATGTTCGGTAATTTTTTATGAAAATAATTTACTTTTGGAAACAGAAAATGGTGAAAAATAATACGGCGCCCAGTGTGTTAACATATATTTAGTTTATGCTTACATTTCATTGAATATTGGGGAAGTTGTAGGGTTGGGTTACCAACTCTTTTACATCATTATTTAGAAATTTATATTACTCCGTTCTTTATTAAGCACTTATTGTTACAGGAAACTTTTTGGAGGCAATAAAATTACCACTACCGATACAGTGGCACGTATCTAAACTCTTCCTTATTTCGTTGGGTCTTTCCGCGTATTCTCATTATAGATAGATAGATAGATAGATAGATAGATAGATAGATAGATAGATAGATAGATAATGAAGAAACTGCGAAACGTAGATGGGCCTAAAATAAGTAGCTGAAGGGACTCAGTTAGCTAGATTGCTAGCTGTCTACATAGATAGATAGATAGATAGATAGATAGATAGATAGATAGATAGATAGAAAATCTGCTACCCAAAGATTGATCAATCTACTTTCCAATCAATTTTCTTGTATTTTGCTTGCTATTCCCTTCATATCTCGAACTGACCCCAGAAGTGATGACCAAACATATTCAGTCAAATGTTGCTTTCTCCCTGGTAGATATTTCGTATCTTACGTTGGCCAAACTTCTGAAGAGAATTGTATAATTACTTGCACACACGTATACACATACATAAATATAGATTTTAAAATATATTTATTCAGAAGGTATTCATTTGAACAACTTCGGTTAAATTCAATCGACAAGCTACCTCTGAGCAGGATAATTCTAAATTCAAAATCGTCTTTGGGGCTGGCAACTGCGCACGATAAAGAGACTAAATGCTGAGCAACAACAGTGTTGAAAATGTGGCCCTATACACTACTTGCAACTAGAAAAACTTTTCTGTCGTCACCTCACGCTTCTCTCTCTCTCTCTCTCTCTCTCTCTCTCTCTCTCTCTCTCTGTTTATTTCTTTTTTTCCTTCTGTTAATCTCTCTCACTCTCTATCTATCAATCAATCAATCTATCTATCTATTTCTGTATGTTTCTTAAGTTTAAAACGTGTATAATTAATATCATTAATGCTCTTTGTAAAGTTCAAAATTCCGTATTCTGCTAAAACCTTCGTATGTGCCGTGTCCCTTCAGGTCGTTGTCTGTCATGGCTCTCCACGATTTCCTGTCCTTTGTCAAACTTAATGAATGTTTATACTTGTAATTAACATCAGAAAAAGACAGTTGAAATTTCTACAGCACATAATGAGGAAAGTGGCTCGGAAAATTCGATACTCATAAGACTGATTGAAGGCAAGAGACACAGAGGAAAACACCGCATCGAGCTTTGGTGAATGTATGACGAAGCAAGATTTAGGAGAGATAAAACAAAATTATTAAGATCTGCAAATTACACAAAATGGTGGGAAGCTATGGTTGATAATGTCCTGAAGAGACACAATACATAGAAAAGGAAGAATCAGACGCAGTTCTTTCTGAAATGTTTGTTTGTTTACGTAATTGTTTTTACTATACTTTAAAAAGGAATCTTTAATGAAATATATTCTTATGTATGAACTAACCGAATTAGCAACGCTTTGATGCGTGCCACACATTTAAATCAATATCATAATTTGTGGAGAAAAAGGATGCATTACAATTTTGCTCAATGATCTCTCCGATGTGACCTCCATTTTCTGGATTTCTCCTTCTATATTTTAGATAGGATTCATTCCCTGGTCCAAATTTAAATTTAATTTAAATAAAAGGGGAAAAATCAGTGGTGGGGGTGCAAAAACAGCTTGACATGACCCCTTTGATATGTATTTGATGTAATTCTTGATTCAATGAAGTGATGAGCAGATTTCAACATTGATATGACAGTTGAATTGTTACAACAAATATGTATCGTAAGGCACTACCAACTGATTGGTGAGTTCTTGTTCAACTTGATTTCCATATTGTCTCATTTTGATCTTGGCGATGTGACCTCCATCTTCTGGATTTCTCCTATATTTTGGTTAGGAGTCATTCTCCTGTTCAAATTAAAATTTAATCTAAATCAAAGGGAAAAAGAATCAGTAAGGAGTTGTACCCCCCTCCCCGTGGACCCTCTTTGATCAAAATGAAATATAATTATCCAAGTACCCTGGGTAATGTAGTTTCAGAATATATATGGTTATGGGTTTATTATCATCAAAACCCTAGGAGGAGTTCGATAACAAACAAACGAACTGACAAAGGCTATATATATATATATATATATATATATATATATATATATATATATATATGTATGTATGTGTGCGTGTGTATGTGTGTGCGCGCGCGTAGATGTAACTATATTAGCACAATGGTGATAGAAAGCTATACATATTACAAAAAAGACGAATACAAACCTAACTAAATTTTAGGATTTTATCTCTTCAGATATAACTGACAAAATAAGCGAACTAACTGAGTTTCTTATTCCATTTTTAGGTATCACACGGTCGTAGTTCATGAAAACAAATTTGGCGGAAAGTTTTTGACAAAAAGGGAGAAAATTTATTTTGACAGTATTGATTTTTTCCCTATGGGAAATTCTGTTTCTTGAGACATTCTCCAGTGTCTTGTGACATCCTAACGATTTCCTTAAATGTTTAAACCACAGTTATATTTTAATATTAATATTGCATTAGACAGGTTGATAGATACTTGTATACTGAGATAGATAGATACGTAGATAGATAGATGTGAAAAGATAGATGTGAAAAGATAGATGTGAACAGATAGATAGATAGATAGATAGATAGATAGATAGATAGATAGATAGATAGATAATGGACAGATTGAGATCGATAGATAATGGGAAATAAATAGATAAATCATGGGAAAGATTTAGATAGAATCTGGTAAAAAATTGATAGATAGATAGATATGAACAGACAGACAGATAGATAGATAGATAGATAGATATGAACAGACAGACAGACAGATAAATAGATAGATAGATAGATATGAACAGACAGACAGACAGACAGACAGATAGATAGATAGATAGATAGATAGATAGATAGATAGATATGAACAGATAGATAGATATGAACAGAGAGACAGACAGACAGATAGATAGATAGATATGAACAGACAAACAGACAGATAGATAGATAGATAGATAGATAGATAGATAGATAGATAGATAGATAGATATGAACAGACAGACAGACAGATAGATAGATAGATAGATAGATAGATAGATAGATAGATAGATAAGAACTGTGGAACTTCTTTCTGGTTCCTGGCTTCCCTGCCACCTGATTGTCCAAGATGTAAATACAACCTCAACCGCTGTTATACCTTCTTGAAATCTGTTCTTTTATTGTCCTTTCTCCGCAATAAAATCAACGAATTCTCTAACTGTCCTTATCTGGCCGCTCGGCTTCACTCCATTTCCAACCGCTGTGAGCTTGCCTCTCTCTGTCTTTTCTAAAAATATTTTCGTGTTACTTGTTCGGATGCTCTCTTCACGGTGACATTTTGATTTAGATTTTAAATTGTAGTTTTATTCCCCTCCACCGACAGACAAGAAATATACATATGGGGACTAGTTAGGACTTCATGGGGATCCTGAAGTTTTATGGTGGATGTAGCAGAATGATAATTTAGAATGCATTGTTTTGGTTTAAGGAATATTGTGGTATCTTTGGGTCAATGATTGTGGCTCGCTAAGTTTAATTATACGACAGAAGAAGACTGTCCTTCCCCCATTCCCCATATCTCATTTTTGCCTTGTGCCACATTATTTATTTTTATACAAATAAATATTGCTCTTCGCTATGATACATAGACTGTACAAATTTAAGCGCAAGACTCGACTGGCGTCGAGATCTCAACAATTTACAGTTGAGCTGGCTAGATGCAACCGTAAGTTCTATGCTAACAGTTTCTTTTCTCGCACTTCTCGCTTGTGGAACTACCTCCAGCCAACTTTGCTGTTCAAAAATTTAAATGCAATGTCGATCGCTATCTACTGTCCTCTTGATTACTCTTCTTTTTTTTTCTTTTTTTTTTTTTTTGTTCTCGCTCATTAGCAATTTTTCTGTTCCTAAATCTTTCGCACCCAGTAACCCTTTGTGTCATAGTGTCTTTACTGCTTTGCTTGGGATGAAACCGATTAAAAAAAGATAGCATTTTAATGACCTTTCATTGATATATTTTATTTATTTACCGTTTGCATTAATGTATTTAAAAAATTAGAAATTAAATTTGTAAAACGGACAAATGTTTTTAGTGTTCATCTTCTTATTCTTCCAATGCCTTTTGTTTTTTCAGAATTGGATTGATTATAAATTACAGTGGGACCCAATAAAATATGGAAATGTGTCTGTTATACGTCTCCCCTTTAACGACATTTGGCGCCCGGATATACTGCTTTACAACAAGTGAGTGTTGGCATCCAAACATAGAGACTTGTTATTCTTCTTGCTGCAACTAATTTCTATTATTATTAATTGTTGCTTGTAATCGTATTTATTATTATTATTATTATTATTATTATTATTATTATTATTATTATTTATTTTTATTTATTTATTTATTCATTTATACTTGCTTCCTTTTGAAATTTCAATTTTTTTCTTTAAGAGACATTGCGAACTTATTTTTTCCACATTTATGTCATTTTTTATTGTTGTGATATAATTATTTTATTTTGATTCTATATCGCTTTTTTAAGAAAATTTTGTTGTCAATGATATATAACTATATAACAACTGAATATAATTATCTTTAATTTAAAATATTTTTACTTGTTTTGAATTTTCATTAATTTATTTGCTTATTTATTATTTTTATTGTTGTTGTTATTATTATTATTATTATTATTATTATTATTATATCCTGCATTTCTATGTTCAAATCAGATGGTCATCCTCTACAACCTGAGTGGCACAAAGTCTTTTCAAATTTCGATTATTATTATTATTATTATTATTATTATTATTATTATTATTATTATTATTATTATTATTATTATTATATCCTGCATTTAAACATTACACCAGGTGATTATCACTGAATGCAGGTGGCAGTAAGCCTCCTCTGAGCCACCACACCTTCTTCATCATACTCGCAGATTCCAACAAAACCGGAGTCTGAAAGAATACTGAAATAATAGTCACATTTTTTCTTTGACACTTCAAGTATTATCATTATTATTATTATTGCCTTAACAATAACGTGGCTACTGCCATCACGAATACTTTTCTACTGAAATAATCTTCCGTTCCTTTTATTAACATTATCGTATTTTTTTTTATTTTTCCTCAGTTATTATTATTATTATTAGCATATTTCTCAGTCTGGTTTGTTTACGTTCTACTTTTAATTCTGTATGCACTGATGCATGAAAAAAAGCACCTATCAACAACACATACATTTTGTATAAATGCACACTCTCGCTTCTACGTATATGCACAATCGCATATCTGTTTATACTCGCGCTTATATATATATATATATATATATATATATATATATATATATGAGCGCAAGTATAAACATACATATATATATATATATATATATATATATATATATATATATATATGTATGAATGTATGAGTATATGGATATGCGTGTGTAATGCTATTTATCAGTGAAAATAGACAGCAAACTTTGTTGTCTCTTTTACAATTCGTTTTATGTCTGTCTTAAAGCCAAGTGAACTTCATACAGAAATCCCAGCTAAAACACGTGGTGACATACATTTACTTCAAATCAGTGTCGTAAAGTTATAAAAAAAAATATGTTCATGTGTTATCCGACGCCAGCTTTACATCAATAGTTTTTGGGGTTTTTTTTTCAAATGAAAATTCCAGTCAGAGGATTTTTTTAAGAAAATCTGATCTTTTGATTCTTAATCAAGACGATGATTATTCATGTCGTTTTATCCATCCCGTAATAGAAAACATATAAAAATACATTTAACTTAGTGAACTATAAATTAATATTTATTCATGCGAGAGGCGGAAAAATGACTTTGCAACTGAACAAAAAAAACTTTAAACTACATTTAAAGATCAAATGTAGATCGAATATGGAGAGAAATCCGATAGGATGATAAAATAAAAGAACAAATAGGAAACGTTTATCAGTCTAACATGTTTCACTTTAATTAATGTTTCGTCAGAGATTGAGAGAAAACAGACAAAAAGACAAAACGTTTGTATTTTTATTTTGTTGTGATCGATCGTCATTAGTCATGTGTCACATGCATTACACATGGAATTTATCTTACAATTGTAATTTTAACTAAGAATTTGAAGCTTGAACTTGAAATCTGAAGTGTTGGATTGTCATGTGATATTCATCCTCTTATATGGCAATAAATGCTGGACAATCTCTCCGAGGATAAAAGAAAAATGCAGGCATCAAAAAAGCGGATAGTGAGAACTCTATAGAGCGAGTAAGCAACGAGGAAGTTTTAAAGAAAATAGCAACAAAGAATAGCTTATGACCAGTATCAGGCAGAGATACATATTGAGGAAAAACATTTTTGAAAACGTAGCTCTCACATGACAAGTCAGATAGAGGAAGGCAGCGACGAGTGTTAAAGAATGCGGAAGTTGGACCAAGATGGTCGGCGAATGGTCAGAATACATCGTGACTTGAAATTCTGGCATTGTTTTTGGGTACATTTTGGATAAGCGGCCCGAAGATGTCAGAGAACCGTTGGAGCATCGACACGCTTTCTACACACAGATCCTATATACTAAGGCCTCACGCGGCGCGGTGCTAAGGTGACGAGTGGGTATGCGTTCTTCCGCTGCCTCAAAGAATCGATGCTACCAAATCTGTCCCTCTCGTATAATAAAACGAATATGATACAGCCTTTAAAGTGGTGTTGGAGTTATAAGGGGTTGAAGCCAGTGATAAAAATAAGGCCGATTCGATTAAAATTTTAAATTCATGGAACTAAAGGGTTGAGCCCACCTGAATATATATATATATATATATATACACACACACACACACACACACACACACATATATATATATATATATATATGAATAAAAATGACAATAGGAAAACTGGTAATTGTTGACGCGTTTCGTCAATGTGGACTTTATCAAAACAAAATACGAATTTCGTATTTTGCTTTGATAAAGTCCACATTGACGAAACGCGTCAGTAATTACCAGTTTTCCTATTGTCATTTTTATTCATAAATATTGTCTTTCTACTGGTTAAATCGGATAAATTTTATATATATATATATATATATATATATATATATATATTACATGCCGGGTGAAACAGCAAAACTGTCCAAATAGTGTAACAGCATAATTGTCCATCCTACATAATGTTTAATATCTAAAAAAAAAAAAAAAAAAAACCTACTAAACTGAGGGGTTTTTTTTTCCAGTTTTTCAGATAAGACGTTTAGCCATTTTGATACCATTTGTCGTAAGAATCACTGAAAAACCCTTTTTCAACTAGAAATAGAACAAGTTAAAATCGTTTTGTGTCAGCCCTACCATGTCTTCCCAAATGAGCAATGGTGAGAGGAAAACGATCATTCAGGCCTTCAGTAATGGTACCAATATTCATACACTGGCTTCCATCTTCAAAGTCCTTTTAAGAGCCATCAAGAGAACGGCGATTTTTTAACAAAGAGAGGACAGTAGAGAGGAAAACTAGATCAAGAAGAGGGATCCTCGTTTCAACTTAGAGCTAAAGTGATCTATTAAAAAAGATTCAACTCGATTCATAAGACATTTGGTACGTGAGAGAGGAGTTTCAGCCATGACAGTCCAAAAGGCAGCGAAAAGAGACTTGAAAATGAAATCGTATATCAACCGTGTCAGGGACATTTTTAATTCAGGACAGAAAGTTATAAGGTTAGAGAGTTCGAAGATCATCTTGAATAAATTGGAAAATGATTCAAGAACAACACACACACACACACACACACACACACACACACACACACACACACACACACACACACATATATATATATATATTTGAACTTTATTTCAGTATTCCAATCCTTTGCTATGATTAATTAATGATGAAAATGTCATTTTCGTTAAGTAGATTCCAGTAGTGTTATAAAAACTCGGAGAATTCCAGTAAGATATCTTTAATCATCTCTTAGATACAACGGTTCATAGCTTTATTTAATCTTTCGTCCTTTCGGCTGAATTATACATGAACATAATCGTTATACCTTTTCAAAAGATATTGAGATAAAATAAGTACCAGGCACCAACCGTATATACTCGTGTATAGCGCGATTTTTGATAGCGTTTTTTTTATGCAAAACATTCGATGTGGTATCATATACTCGTATTATTTTTTTTTTTTTTTGAACTGGTTTTAAAATGATGCATTTTCACTGGGGGTTAAAAGTCATGTCAAAACTTTCAGGGGATGCACTTTATATGAACTCGACTTATACACGAGTATATACGGTAAAACTTCTTTTTTTTTTTTCCCCCCCCGCTTTTTTTTTCCCACAAAGAAATAAAGTATGTCACCACATTCAACCTGATACAATGTCCACATGCAAAGCTAAATACATTCTTTTGATTTATTAACGCATATATTTCTTTCGACAGCTAATCCCCAGAATATTACACTGTTGACCTGACGATGACAGTTCTCTGGGACAAGGTTTTTATTTTATTTTATTTTTGGCGGGAGAGTCACAAATTAACTCGTTTTGGGGGAAAATACATCCGTTCTCAGCAAATAGTTTTTTTTCCCCGTTGTTCTTAAAGGGACGCTTCGAAACATTTTTCCTGGTGGTAAATGACAACAGTTGTTTGTACTAAACTTTTTTTTCTATTAATGTTAAATCTCTTAAAAATACATGTTAACGTCTTTGTTCTGTCTTATCTGAATGTATGAACACTAGGTTGCGTCCAGTCAAAGTCAAACAGCATCTAACCAGCCATTACTTAGATAGGTGCTCGTTCAGGAATACAAGCTATAGTAGCCAAATTGTTGCCTTTCGTCTTACTAGCTATCGTTGTACAGACTAAGAAAAACACTATACTAAATCTTTCATACGTTAAACCATTGTTCATTCAACTGTAGACTTCATCAATTTATATCGGTGAGTGTTTCTTTATTCACCAAATGGGGTTTCCTTTCCTCGTGAGAATATCAGAGATTCTCTATTTTTTACTCCTCTAAGGTGGAGCGCTTATATATCTATCTACGCCCGGTTGTTCTAAGTGTGCACACCCTAAGTGCATCAGGGTTGACAATCTGTTTACATGTCGGTGGCAGTCCAGACACAAATCTGAACATGGTGGCTAGCAGCACAATTTCCAAATCAGCCCGCTAATAAACCTGACTTCTCTGACACTCTGGTTTCACATTCGGTGTAATTTCTATTTTGATATTGTTGTGGCCTTGTTAGGGCCAGAAATAAAGACACAAGAAAGGGATTGAGTTAAGCAAACAGAAAGAGTAATACAAACATATACAAACGAGAGTGTTACAGCAAGAATGTACAGTCCGACTGTCATAGCTGACTGCTGGAAACTTCCCCCCTCCAGAAGGCAGTACCTGCTCCTATTTATAGCTGGCAGAGTCCATGCGTGCGTGGGTAAATTACCATAAGAGATATCATTAGAGATGAAGCCAGTACATGTTCGAGTCACACTAGATTAACGTTTCTCGGAAAGAAAATGTGCCTCATTGGCATTCATTTTGATTCAGACCATCTGATATTTACGACTAAGAATCGCGTCATTTCTAGACATTTGGATAGACTTCAAGATTTAAGGACGTTGAAGACACCTCACTGAAATTCCTCTGCGACGACGCAGCCAGTATTTAGATAGGTGACAGCTGAGATGCACTAATTATATTAAGCAGGTTACGGCTTTGTTTACAATTAAGTAAAGTTTAGTAAATAAGAAGTCGTATACATTATAAAACAAAATTTACCACCACCAGGTTACAGGAATGCCAGTGCGACAGAAAGGTTTATTTTGTTTACGATCTTGATTACTTAATATTAATTTTAAGCATTTCGATATTTTCAGATGAAGCACAACACGACGATGAATACCTCTGCTATTTTGATTTTATCTGCAGTGTTTTATCTTTTCAATTTGTGTTTTCATCATTTTATCGCTCCTTAGTTCTTTTAATATCGGAAATCTCTTTTCACTAATTTTAATGTTATTTTTTTCTTTTTCTTCACTCAACAGGTGTTCATTTAATAAAAAAAAAAAAGACAAACGTTTCTATGGTTGATTTTTCTTTATACATTTCCAGCGAGGGAATCAAATCAAAAATCTATTGTTCTTTTCCATGAGTCGTTAATTTTTACGCTGTTTATTCAAGATAAATATCGCTAATGCATTATGGGTATCGAAGACAGTTTTAACATTGAATTCATTGGATATGAGACTATGTTTACGTCAACGTGTGTTTGCATGACCGTATTGCGTACAGGCTTCCTTAAGAATACATACTTATGTCAAAATAAACTTAAAGGTTCAAGCAACTCCTAAATGGATACTATGATCCCAAATCTTAAAAATTAACTCGCTGAACAACAAATCAAAAAAATATATATATATATATATATATATATATATATATATATATATATATATATATATATATATATAACTATACTCGTTTCGAAAAACCGTCGAATTTTTTGATTTTTGAAGCTATTGCCTATAATTTTGGCTATTGCCTATAAATATGTGTGTCTCTTTGTTTTTAGCCGGCTTCCCCTGACGATCCGTTTCGGTGAAACCTAGGTAGGTTTGTCTGGCTCACCAGGTTTATATATATATATATATATATATATATATATATATATATACGATCAGACGGATAGATAGATAGATAGATAGATAGATAGATAGATAGATAGATAGATAGATAGATAGATAGATAGATAGAAATAAAGAAAGAAAGAGGCTAATAGATAGACAGATACATACATACATACAAAAATCCTGAGATAGAGAGATACAAATAGATTGATATGTAGAAAGACAGAAGGCTAATAGATAGATAGATAGATAGATAGATAGATAGATAGATAGATAGATAGATAGATAGATAGATACAAACAAAAAGTCTCAGATAGAGAGATACGAATAGATAGATAGAAAGAAAGAAAGAAAGAAAGTAAAAGAAAGAGACAGTCTAATAGACAGATAGATACATATATACATACATACATACATACGAAAAGCCATAGATAGATAGATAGACAGATAAGTAGATAGATAGAAACGGTGTAGAGATAGAAATAATACCTGTACAGCGTCACTTTCAATCTTAAGAGATTCAATTGACTGTCAACTGCAGTTTTGTTTCTATGTCCCCACTGTTTATAGCTACAAGCTCTCTATTTAAGAGAAATCTTTCCCCATAAAAATAGCATGTTTTTTTAAAATTATATACATCAAGCAGGCCAATAGATAGATAGATAGATAGATAGATAGATAGATAGATAGATCTTTATGCATTTTGCTGAGGGAAAATGGTCACCCATTCTTCCTTGATCGTTGAGATTATTGGCTGCACTCTTTAATCTTCTAACAAACGATTGTTATAGTCAATTAACGAAAGCTGAACGCGTTGCACTGATCTTAATGGCAAGAGCAAATGAACCTGAAAGCAGGTGACGAATACAAATTATGTATCAAAAACTTTCCCGAGTATGGCGTGAACGTAAAAAGAAAAAGACATAACACATACATTAGCGTTTGTTAAAATCTCGAGTAAAAATTAACAATTAATCGGCTTAATATTCTCATAAGTGAAAAACAAAGATATAAAGTTTAGAACAAATCTTTGACTGTTGTCTTTTCTTACAAAACTGTATTCCAAAATGTCTGGTTTAATTACCATTGAATAAATATTATTTATCATTGATTGCGGTGACTGATAACTAATTTAAAGAATCTATAAGACAGCTATCGCCGTGAATATATTTCCGCCCTATGTCTTGACAGTCATTAAGAATTAAATACAACTTCTTTTATTATGTGCCATGCGCTTTCTGAACGTTAATGATCATGGCCCTCCACAATTTCTTGTCCTTTGAACCACTTAGAAAATTGTGTGTTTTTTGCTATCTCTCCTAAACCCTGTTCTACCATGTATTTAAATAAGCTTCTTAGGAAGGTATTGCGCTGTTTTTCTCTGTCCCGCTTGCCTGTAACATGTCCTATGAGTGTCAAGTTTTCCAAGCCCCAAAATAAGAAAAAACAAAAAACGTTTTACGAGATATCAAACCTTGAAAAATATTTTCTTTGGTATTCTCTATTTACAACCAAATTTTTAATTATCCCTCTTATATGTAATATGTAATTACATATTACGCTGTCATATGTAATTTGCAACCCCCCCATCTTTGGGTATGGAAATTCTGGAAAAAATGTCTACCGTTGATAACAAGGACTTGTAAATTACGATTTTTAGAAGCTACATTTAACCAAAATTTTATTTTATTTCTTTTATATTTTATCCGGTTTGTATTAACTAATATATGGAGATAACACTACGATTATTGGTGCAGACAACAAAATAGACGAAATGAGTTTTGTCTGTATCTGTTACATTCACCTCACTTTAATACTACTTGGGAAATGCTTATATCAATTTTTCTCCTTCCACCTATGAGTTAAATTACTAGGCAACCTGTACTCTCTAGCCATGTCTGTGAACCAGTCTAGGGTCAACTCCTATTTGCAACCGGAACGTCTTCTTCTATGTGTCGTGCTCCTTTAAGACACTGACGTTCATGGCTCTTCACAGTTGCTTTTCCTTTGTAGCTCTTAATAAATGTTATCTTTTTGTTATCTCTCCTAAAGCTAATTCATTTAGTTAACCTCTCTAAGTAGGTTATGCGCTGTTTAACTCTGTCCCTCTTGCCTTCAATCTGTCCTGTGAGGATCAGATTTTCCAAGCCCTCTTTCCTCTGTCCCTCTTGCCTTCAATCTGTCCTGTGAGGATCAGATTTTCCAAGCCCTTTTTCTCCTTATGTAAACTAGAAATTTCCACTGCTTCTTTCTGAGATCTATATGTGTCATTTTTGTTTCTCTTGTCTCTAAATGTGTGTTATTGCTCACATGTTCGGTCCATGGTATTCTCAGCATCCTTCTGTAGAATCACATTTCTATTGCTTCAAGTATTTTAAATGTCACCAAAATATATTCCACTCCTGTCAGCTAGCTAAGCAGAAATTCATTGTATCTGCCGACGAAGTTCCTTGTCTCTGTAGATATATTTCTTCAACTACGACAATCGCAACTGCACTTGAGTTTTTTTTCTTATGTTGACTGAGCCTAGCACGCGTGCGCACTTTGAGTCGCCGCTCTAAATGTCAAAGTACACAAAATGATGCCTGCTACTGCAGAAATCTCATTCAAGCACGCTCTCCAACAAAAGAGGAAAAAAAATGATTATGTTAAAGTCAAATCGAGGAGGATAATAATTTTCTTAAAAACTGTCAAGCGTGTGACATAGGAGTTAAACCCCCAGTCAGTCGAGAAATACATTCACATGCCTAAAATTTCCAGTCTGTAATATCGAAACTGTTTTAACAGATAACCGCTAATTTGACACCGATTTCAAAAGGTGGACGGAATACTAAATTATGCCATCGAAACTGAACACAATATTAAGAAACCAGTAAATTTTCTCAAAAACAAATAAAATAATTAAAAACCGCTATGTAACCGCAATCGTTCTATATGGCAGCGAAGGCTGAACAATTTCCCCACAGATCAAGAGGAGTCTTGAGGCGAAAAGGATATAGCGCTACAGAAGGATACTGAGAATACCATGGACATAGAATGTATGCAACGAGGAAGTTTTAAGCAAAATTAAAAGAAAATGACCACTCTGAATCATAAAGAGACAGTTGGAATGTCTAGGTCACATAATTAGGAAAGAAGGCTTGGAAAATTTGACACGCACGGGACATGTTAAAAAAGGACAGATGAAAGCAATGTGTAATCTAACGAGATTATGTAATAGGGAATGGGGATGATAGCAAAAAGGCAAACATGACGAAGGCTTCAAAAGAAAGAAATTTGTAGAGAGCCATGATCACCTATGTCTTGAAGAGATATGGCATATAGAAAAAGATACTCTTATTAACAATTTTTAAACAGCCAAAGTTATGAATAAAATGCCTTTCTAACGAAATAGTCATAGCTATTTTCGAAGCTCCAAACTACAAATATGAAGCGTATACCCCTAGCGTACCCTCTCTGTTAAAATTTTACTTGAGCAAAGCCACTCAAACTGATGATCAAGCTCATGATCTTGCTATTTTAATGTGTTGTGTAGTTGTTCTCTGACGAGCAATTTGGTAATGCCTGCTATAATCTTACTAATTGCAAATCTGTTCAAACAATACGATGAATGCAGTCATTCGAGGCAAGGTAAAGTAACGCATTGCGGCTGGGATAGAGGAATCGCAAAGCCGAGTTCAAATCCCAGTCGAGTTCATTCCCTTAACTTACATCCTAATACTCTTTGGAAAAGTATGAATTCAATTCTTCTCCCCCAGCTATGGGTAACCTTGGTTGGCAATCAGTCTAGAATAAGGAAAAATTCTGATATGCCCCGGAAAGGGATATATTTGTTCGAAGTAGCAAAGTGGTTGCTGATTACAGTAACCGGGTAGGACAATCTAGCAGGTAACCGTAATGGACGTCCTCGTCGTAGTGGTAGGCAATAGGCAAAGACCATAAGCGTAGACAATAGGCATAGTCCATGTACCTCCACATCAGTCTGTATTTATGGCTTACACCAGCCAATCATATTACTGTGAGGGGGAACCCAGGTGTATGCATATTCATTACATCAAATTTTAAGAAAGAAAACAATGTGACTACCTTCTACTTAAACCGGCGGGTGTCTGGTAAGTTGTATCTTTTGCTCCCTCGCTCTACTCTCCTGAGTGAGGGTGTATAACACGCGGTGTGGTGCAGTTGTAGCTCAGTTGTAGCGGGAGGTAGACGCCAAGGGACTATTCCTTTTCGGAAGTAACGAGCAAACCTTAAGTAAAAAAAAAAAAAAAAAAGTAACATATTTGACAAGAAAATTATTGTTTGAACTGGCAGCTGTCCGGGAGTTAATAGAGAGTAATCTAGCCTCGTTCACTAGTACAAGTGTGAAATTGTTTC